GATCATCGGTGAGGAGCAATAGACGCCATTAGTCAGATATCCATGCCACAAGCTTGCTGGTCCCATCTAGTGTCGAAAGATGAGTAGCTCCGAAAGATCTAACCAAGAACGGAGTAAATGTTGAAATTTCTGCCCTGCGGAACATGCAAACAGGGAATACATAGCCACCGTTAGGGATATCTTGCTCATTACGACAACTATGCGGACTTACAAGGTTGCGTTCGCTCACCCGGCGGGATGAGACTTCTTTCGAGGCCTAATTCGGAATTCCTCTGGGATAGTGAACGTTCAACGAAATGGTGACCAGAAACGAATACTGCATGGCCGCTGTGATCAACTACATGGGAATGCCGGCTTTGCAAAGGTACTTGCACTCGATGATGTTGGTTGTGAATGCGCTGATGCTGTCGGTATACGGGGATTGTGAAAGAGCGCTGCCCTCCATGCATGGTCTGAAGAATTCGATCCAATCGAGAACTCGAGGTACCAGCGTTAGAAGCATCGAAAAAGCTGCTCTGCACGGCTGTAGGGTAGATTGACGAGTCGGAGATATCCAACGGACGTGTTCAATTGAACACTGTCTCGACGATATTGGGTGACTTTCCGCACTGTTGTCGTTGCTGGATATTCGGATGTATGCTGCTGAAAGTGTTGGTCCTCATTGCGGTATGGCTCCAGATGTGCCCCTTTGCACCTCCCAAGACCTGCGATACCTCCCTGTGTTCCTTCAAATCCCTCAGCAAGTGGCATCCCACCACTTTCTCATCCAACTCTGGGGATCCAAATATCCAAAGGTCTTGCTGGGATTACGCATCGTGGTTGGAGCAAAATCTGTGGGTACAGACTTATTGGGGTACCGTGACAGAGTTGGATTGTCCTCTGCAAAAGGATAGTCGTGTCTTTGGTAGGACATTCTGCGGGATCCGAGATAAGGAAGGGGTATATATGATGTGTTGTTTGTCGGCTGTGGTAGCGGAATAATGAATCGATATTGCGCCTGTGGTTGCTTGTTAGACTTGGGAATCTGTGATCAAGTATCTAACCAATGCTGATGAGCGAGGGTATTGTGGTTGCTGAAGGCCTGACCAACAAATTCAATACCTAGGTAGGAGTTTTTGTCCATGGAATCGGTGTGCACACCTAGAAGCGAGCCAGGTCATGTGCCGGCACTGACGGCGCTTCCCTAGTCGAGTGGCTTACTACTTCAACTCCCGTTCTGCTTCGCCCCAAGTTGTGCTAACTGGCAGATTGAAAACATATCAGCCTCTCAATGGATAACACACTCACGGGTTCAGCGTTATCTGTATCTGCGACGGTATTCCTTACTCTGAAGGTTACGAGTTTCACTGTACGTTCGGGTGACTGGAAGGTTGTACGCCTTGAGTTGAGGCTAGATGACTAGATGAATACTACGCTAGACTTATCATAGCTGAGTTTGACATACGTTGACAGTAGTGAGGTTATAAACACTGATGGTGAGGTTCGCAATCAGCAAACTCGGCCTTGTCGGAATTCGGAGTAATCGAAAAAGCTTACAATAACAAAGGTTTTGGGAAATCGCCCAAAAGACGAGACTGTTGCGTTGGAGCGTGAACTAGAGGATCGTTCAGCGGAGGTAGCGATGCACGGTGACTTTGGATGAGGACGTACGAAGAGCACAATAGTAATGCTAGCGATGCTGTGACCCATTCAGGTTATTAGATCTCAAACGTCATGCCGCTTACTCACGTCGTCAATGCCCCGGTATTGATCGTATACATGATGAGCTTGTTAATGAGACTATCAGTGCTGATGGAGGCGCTATAAATTTGGGGCTCTCGATGATTGGAATATAGCCTACCTCTTGATACCCGTGCGGCTCCTGTAAAGGTAGTATGATAATGCTACGGTGCATATGATATCATTCGCTATGAGAAGCGCAAATCCAGTCACAGTTAATGTCTGATATGGCGTAGTATGAATCTCGTTGACGTTGGGTATGAGGTATAGCTATGATTCACCATTGTAACTTTTGATTGAAGTGCTTCGAAAACCTCCATGTCCGGTCTGCTGGTGCTATATGGAGGATCGTGTTAGGGCATTCCCAGAGGTGATGATGATTGTTGACATGCAGGATAATGGATTCGACTGAGGATTGATGAGGGTGTGGCGTTGAATAGGGGTGTAGAGCACGTACCGATGCATACGGCTATCCGTAATGATCACTTTCGATAACTAGATAGATACTAGTTTCTCGCACATACCTATTTCAGCGACTTTTAGTGTACACTGTAAAGGATAGTCAAGAGACACGCATATGGACCATGTAGACGATAGTGCCTACCACGACTGCGGGTGTCATCCAATCCTTCTTGAAGCTAACTGAAACACGTCAATTTTCGATTTTACTCGTTACTAAATCGCGGCATACGACGATAAATTCGCCACACGTAGAATGAGTGTACGATGAATTCGGTTACGACCTAGGTGTTCTGATGCTTGATTTTGAGGCCAAAGGAAAGGAAGAGCAAGTGTCGTACAGTAACTGGTATTCTGGCCTGTCCAGATTGAGTGATTGTATCAACTCTAATCAATAGTTAGACTCCTCACAATTTCACTCCTACCCGAATGAAAGGTGTAAGCAACGGTTACGAGGGGAAAAGAAGGGGTTTACGAACCAGATATATGTGTTCAAAGGCGCTTGAATTCCAAAGTTGAGAATTAGTCGATAGTATACTGCATGAATGGATAGTATCTCAGCAGCTGTTCCGAGGGCCCTGTACATTACGGATGTCAATGTGGGGATAAAGCCATTGGGTGAAGCGTACATCAATGCGAGAACCTAGTATATATCGATATGTTCGTCAAGATCCCGAAACATCCACGACACAAAATGTTCACTCACGATAATCCGAAGCGAGATTCGATCATTGTAATTCTGGAAGTAAGACCATGTTTGAAGACATGTAACACCATATAACCTGCGTATTTGGTGATAAGTGATCGCCTTGTAGAGTTGAACCAAGCGCAACTTTACCCTGTTGCAAAGAGGATACCTATCAAGTTTGCTCCCCAGGTGATTCCTAGGTCAAAAGGAATTGCCGTCATTGTGAGAAGAAAGGATTGGTGATAGTTGTGCGCAATTCCTCGCTTTATATACCGCGCTATCCAATATGGGGAAGACGATCACTAACAGCCTTTCGGGGAAGTCTTCAGCGCGGGATTTCATCAGGCGAGAAATACCAATATATACGCTCGGCATATAAGTGGCTGAAATTCTCCACATAGCTCCATATTGTATTGGATGTTGAGCGGAAATATTGGTACTTCCCGTGCATGGATGAGCCGGAACGACACCAGAGCGGGAACTAGTAACGAGGCGATGGTCCATCAAGCTCAAGCATCAAGCGTAGGCGGGGTCAGATTCCTTGCCGAAATGCGGTTCCTTTCTGATCTATGCTATCTGTGTGTTTTCGGTTATCGATGATAAAGGTATGAAAGTTCCCACTCATGCGTTTGACTCACTGAGGCTTCACTCAGTTGATTTCGCCACTCATCAACAGGGCTGAACGTTCTAGACTGTGGTGCGAAGGGAGAAGCAGGAGATCATGATGGTAAGGAAGAAGGGCAGTCACGTTGGCTGTCACGTTGACAACACGTTGTGAGATTACGGCACGGGCTTCGCAATCTTTTCTTTTTTTTTTTTTCGCTACCACCATGTCTGTTCGTTTCTCAGTTCTGCACTACATGGTGAGCTTCGCCCATCCGTTCTCTTTTGCTCTCCTGCTTGACGCGCAGGGTCTAGGTGAACACCTGGAATGACAATGCCGATTACTACGACGGAGGTACAATTCCATTTTGTTCTGTCCCAGCCTGCTACGACTTGATATGCTCTGTTATTGCTAATGGTACGTTATTGTGCGACTTTGACTCCCCGCCGTCAGTCTTACTCACATTCAACGACAGAGTCCCGGCTCCCTGTCAACGCTTTCAACCGTAGACACCGCTTAGCGCTCAGACTATGACAGACTATTCAACGTCCGCATCCCATTACTAGCCGCTAGAGGTACATTCCCGGTTCTTTTCCTCCGCTCCTTTCGCCTATCTCTTTGTGTTCTAGCTATCAGGAATGCTTGGCATCGAACATGGAAAAGTGCGCTGTGGAGTTGCATGGGTAATGGTACGTCAACGCGTCAACACGCTGTTTTCACTCCCGTCCTCAGACCCACTCACATTCATCTGACAGCCCATCCTACATTCGCAGATGCTCGTCTCCGACTGAGCTTTACCCATTCTTGCATGCATGAGGATCCCACAACAATGAATAGAGACAGTGCGTACCCATGCCTCTCCTTCCTATCTTTCCGCACACGCTCCATATCAGACTTCAATCACTTCCACCCATTTCACCGGTATACAACTGCAAGAAATCTCGATCGATCGGAACCCAAACGACCACGTCGAACACACGACTCCTCCCCTTCCTTAACCATACTCAACGTCAACGCCAGGTCACCGTATTCGTCTCTTCTTCTAAGACATATGCCTTTTATTTCTCTGGGGCTGTCTACCTCCGGAACTCGGGAAGGGTGGAATTGCAGCGCCCAAAGTACGTATCCACTTCCTCTCCTCCACATCGCTTGCTTATCATCGATACTAGAACTCGGCCTTCGTATACATACCCAAAGTGAAGAACTAATTTACACCCACCCGTCCATATCACCGAAACACCTAGGCTTCCTGCGCTCTCGAACCTCGAACCAGCACCCAAAGTGCAACAACCCACCAAAATATCAAGAGACGTCACGGAACGATGGATGGAGGAAGCGAAGTGTTGGGGGTGTTCTTGGTCGAATGAAAAACGATGGGGAGCGAGAAGCGACGCGTTCTCTTCCGTACTATTGTATTCCTCGCATTTTGCGCTTCCTCACTCTATCACTATTCATGTTACACGTACAATTCCTATCTACCTATCGAACCACGGAAAACTAAACCAAAAAAGATGGCGGAACGCTTGGTATTGCATTAAGAGGGAATCGAACCCCCGGCGGGTCGAGCTATATTATCCCAAGGAGATGGCAACGACCCAGGTTACCACTACCCCATTAATGCCGTGGTTCGTGATTCAAGCAAATGGGATGGAATGCTCTCGGGGTTAATGTTAAGCCCAGCAAATAAAAAGCCCACAACATCGCATGCCACAGTGCATTGAAAGGGAATCGAACCCCCGGCAGGTCGAGTTCGATCATGCCAATGGAATGGCAACGACCCAGGTTACCACCCCATCAATGCGGTGGTTGTTTCGTTTTGTGGTCAAAGTGTGTAACTAAATAAGGAATTGGAGTCCTTGCTTCAATTTTCACCGTCTAGTCTTCCGTCAACACTTTTCTGTCTCGCTGGTGATGTGCTAGAACCGTCTAGTCAAAACGACCAACAATGTTTTGTTTTTTCGATGAGGGAGGCCATTTGTTGCAAAGTACGTCTCGATTATCATTCCGCTCAACGCTTGTCGCCTTACCCACCAGGCAAGACATATTCTTATAAGCTCATCGCCTCACGGAGTGTGTTATCAACACGTCACCCCGATCCAATACCCTACTGGCGTTGCGTTTCGAGGAAGATGGATGTCATCGGCTACCTTAGGACTCCAAACGAGCTTGCCAATACTTACCATCGATCCACCGGAAATTATGCCGCTATTATGGGGTATCTTATCTGAATCCCATCGTATCAGAAGGACGGTTGATAGGTTAACACTCAATCACATCGAAGCACTATCCTTCCTTCGTCTGTTTTCGTGGGAAAGGCTTATTGCTGCCCTCCGACCCGACGTAAAAGCTATGACTCAGCAGCAATCCATCTGGAGTCTGACTTGGGAGACTAGGAAAGGCTATACTCTGGTGAGATCTACGTCTACTTCGATAGGTATCATGCTGATTAAGGGACTAGGCTCGTGGAGTTCTTCAGCATCTCTAATCCCAATCTCCGTCGTTTATCGTTCTCCAATACCTCAGGGCATTCCCCAACTAGTCTTTCCATCTTTCAAATTTACCCATTTGCGTGGGTGACACATAGTCAACACTCAGTACGTTCATTCAAATTGCTTGTCTGTCCCAGTTTCCCATGCTGGTGTCAGCACGATTTGGTATCCGGAAAAACATCGATGACGATGTCCCTGTACGGGAACAGCCACGGCTCGCGTTACCGTATCTCCGTTTCACTAGATACTCTCATATACATTTAAACACGTGCCCATCGACATCTCGGATCTCAGACTTCGACTCGTCGATTCATTACCTCCCTCTCACAAATGATCGAGCGCTCCAATTCCCTGCTCTCGTCCTTCCAGCTCGGGAATATACCCATCAAGGATGTGGACCTGGTGTTGCTTCTGGAGGTACTTGAAGTTCGCGCCACTGAAACATGGGTATGCCAGGTGCATCGAACAGGAAGCCATAATCATATCGTGACCCATCATAAACCCAATGGGTCCATTTTTCTCGCTATTCGAGTCGGTTCCTTTCAAACGCAATGACTACTCATTTATAAGGATCAATCGAGCCACTTACTTCCTCAACTCCTGCTCTGCTTGAACCAGAGTTGTCCTAGTTGGTAGATCAAAAACAAGTTAGCCTCCCAATGGATAACACACTCACGGGTTCAGTATCGTCTGTATCTGAAACAGTGGTATTCCTTATTCTGAACGTTCCAAGTTCCACTGTTTCTTCAGCTGATTGGAATGTTGGACGTCTTGAGTTGAGGCTGGATGACCAGATGAATACTACGCCAGACCTATCACAGCTGACTCTGACACACGTTGACAGTAGAGAGGTTATAAACACTGATAGTGAGGTTCGAAATCAGTACACTCGGAGTTGAATTCGGAGTAACCAAATTGTCTTACAATAACAAAGGTTTTGTGAAATCGCCCAAAAGACGAGACTGTTGGGTTAGAGCGTGAACTACGAGTAGAGGAGTGTTTGAGTTTAGTGGGGGTAGCGATGAGGATGAGGACGTACGAAAAGTACGATAGTAACACTGGCGATGCTATGACCAATTTGGGTTCAAGGTATTAGATTTCAGACGTTACGGTACGTAACGTTGCTTACTCACGTCGTCAGTGCTCCGGTATTGATCGTATATAAGATAAGCTTGTTAATGATGCTATTAGTGCTGATGAAGGCCGTTATAAACTTGGGGGTCTCAGTGATTGGAATATAGCGTACCTCTTGATACCCGTGCGGCTCTTGTAGAGGTAAAACGATAACGCTACGGTGCATATGATATCGTTCGCCATCAGAAGCGCGAATCCGGTAAGAGTCAATGCCTGATATGACGTGATGTGAGTTTCGTTGACATTGGGTATGCGATATGCGGTATAGATCGCTATGATTCACCATTGTAGCCTTTGATCGACGTGCTTCGAAAGAATTCGTATTTTGTCTGTTGGTGCTGTAGGGAGGGAGGATGGGCGTTAGCACGTTCCCAGAGGTGATGTTGATGGTGGTTGTTGACTTGCAGGATAACGGCTTCGACTGAAGAACGATGAGGGTGTGGCGTTGAATAGGAAAGTAGAGCACGTACCGATGCATATAGCTATCCGTAATGAGCATTTCGGGTTACTAGACAGATGTTAGTTTGAGGTATTGTACGTACCAACTTCAGCGACCTTTAGTACACACTGTAAAAGTTGGTTAAGGGAAATGCATATGGACTGTGTAAAGGAATCATGATGGGGCGTACCACAAATGTAGGTGTAATCCAGTCTTTCTGGAAGCTGACTGAAACATGTCAGTATTCGATTTTACTAAATATTGGATTGCGATCTACGACGATAAATTCGCCACACGTAGAATGCGTGTACGATGAATTCGGTTGCGACCTGAGCATCTTGATGCTGGATTTTGAGACCACAGGAAAGGAAGAGAATATATCGTAAAGTTACTGGTATTCTGGCCTGTCCGGATTGAGTGATTGTGGAAACTCTAATCGATAGTGATACTCCTCACAATGTCACTCCTACACAAATGAGAAATTTAGGACATGAGTAGTACGAGGTGAAACGAAGGGGTTTACGAACCAGATGTTCGTGTTCAAAGGCGCTTGAATTCCAAAGTTGAGAATTAGTCGATAGTATATCGCATGAATGGATAGTATCTCAGCAGCTGTCCCGAGGGCCCTGTACATGACGGATGTCAATGTGGGGATAAAACCCATTTGGTGAATCGTACATCAATGCGAGAACCTAGTATTGATATGTTCGTCAACATCCCGAAAAATCCACGACAAAAACGCTCACTCACGATGATTCGAAGCGAGATTCGATCATTGTAATTCCGGAAGTAAGACCATGTTTGAAGACACGTAACACCATATAAGCTGTATATCTGAGTGATCACTTTATAGAGTTGTACCAAGCGGTGTAAAGTTACCCTGTTGCAAAGAGAATACCTATCAGGTTTGCTCCCCAGGTGATTCCTAGGTTCAAAAGAAGAGGTGACATTGCAGATTGATGATGGGTGTGCCCAAGTTGTCTCTCTTATGTATATTTATCGTGATATCCAATTTCGGGAAAAGGATCACTAACAGCCTCTCGGGGCGGGGGCGGTCCTCTAGCGCGGGTTTTGGATAGTATGTGAGCTCAGTTCCCGAACCGGAACGGCAACACAGCGGGAACTACCTAGCAACTAGGCAATTTTTGATCAAATATTCGTTTTCCTATATGTGAAAAAGCCGGGATCATTTGTATTATGCATTAAAGTTGACATGAGATAATGGTTGTTGATCGCAATGTATACAATTGGTAAAACAAATAATAACGGGTTTAACAAATAAAAGCGAGAAGTAACTTTGATAAGACTGCATGCACTTACCTTTTCGCTAATATCATATTGAACAGGCTAGCGGTGTGGACGGAATCGTTACCGTACTCATCGACATCACACGCCATATCATTACGGGATGTAGTGCTCATTTCCATCAACTTCAACGAGCTCATGGCGCAGCTGTCACCGCATCTCAATTTCATTCCTATTTCTCAGTTTTCATTCAATTCTTGTTTCATTGTTCAATTCCCCGTTACATCCCTATTTTCAACACATGTTTCATTTTTCATTCTCGACTCTACTACATCAGACAATACGCCAATCGCATACACGATCTATTTCAACCATGTTACATATTCTCCCCTTTCCCGATTCAAGGTCCGAACGAGCTAGTGGCGCCAGGAAGACACGAATGTCGCCGCCGCATTCGATATCGCACTCGCAATGCGAGATTGTAGGTTCCAATACGAGGCTTAGCCCACCTCTGAGGTTCCGAGTCACCGATGGTCATTCCAGAAGCTAGCGTGGACGTACCAAGATGACGATCAGGATATTTATTATCATCTCTGACATGGACAAGTTGACTCAAACACGTTTTACTTCTATTTTACTTTATTTACTTACAAACAATCTCATATTTAGTTTTGATTGATGGGAATGAATATTCACTCTTTTTCCCTCCTCCCCTCATCTTACGTCTGAGCCCAACGTCTGAGCCTAACGTCCGAGCTTCAAGTTCAACAATCAAAGCACTATCAAAGCCAACTCATTTTCCATTTCGAGCAACCGTCAACACTTCTTAACACTCAACACTCCTCTTTTCTCATCCTCGACTACTCTCTCACCTGTCCCCGACCTTCACCCTTTTTATTCGACCTTCGCATCAGTTCTCTCTACGTTAGCGGTGTGAAGATAGGAATACGAGAAGGCCGGTCACGCTGGCTAGCACGTTGCTACCACGTTGTCAGATTACGGCATAGGCTTCCCAATCTTTCTTCGCTACCACCACGTCCCCTCTACTCACTTTTACACGCTAGTTTGTGCTCACATGTTGACAATTGTGTTCTGATCCCTTCGAACAATATCCTGATACGCACCATTCTGGTTGATACCTCGATTGACGATTCCGATTACGACAGCGATAGGTGTGTTTCCATGTTGTTTTGCAGCGTGCTTGTTGCTCATCCATGCTCCCAGAATCGCTTGCTACAATTTGATGTACTCTGTGTGTTATCGCTTCTCACAGCGACTTGGTAACCTGTTCATACCTCCACTAGCAATGTCTTT